CCCAATCGTTCACGTGTACTCTCTCATTTACTTTGTTTTCGCACATCTCATGGTGCACCTTCTCACATAAAGACTTCTACATCCCTTTCCTCTCTTTCGTCATGCTCATGCACTGACGCTGCACCACTCTCTCACACCTTCACTAACACACTTACCCACTCCTTCACTGACTGAATCTATCGCCCCCCCCTCATAAATTCCGCCCTCCCTCTCTCACTGAATGTGTCTGCCTGCCTGACTGACTGTACATCTAGATAACGCCACGCACGAGACTCTTTGCGCACAACAAAATAGCATAACAGGCCGTAAGCTGACAGTTGGGCGAATTGAGCAAAACGAAAAGGCAGTCGTGAAAAACCGAAAAACGAAATACGGAAAACGAAACGAAACTGGTGGAGTACTTCTTTCTTGTAGCTAACCTCAAGTTTCTTCCATTTAAAAATATATACATATATATATAAAAATTAATCACAACTTATATTCCGGTGACAGACTGACTGATAAACACGTGCAAACGCCTTATTTTGTATTATTTTAATTTTTCCTGAGACAAAGCCTATTTGTTCTTACTCTCAGAGAAACATAAAAATATATTTATATACCTATATGCATAAATGAAATTAAGGGTCCGGCATTAAATATATATATTTATATATATATATATATATGTGCATGTATATATATTGTTCAATCCGAAGCAACAGTTTGGTTAATTTACTGCAATAAAAATTAACAAAAAATTCTCTGACCTGGTTTGTAAGTTGTGAAAAATAAGCAAAAGTAGGCAGAAAGGAAACTAGACACGGGAAAAAGAAGTTACCCGCCAAAGAAAAATCAACCAAAAGTGAATTAACTCAACAAGAAGTTCTGACGTAAAAAATAAATAAACGAAACACACACACACACACATTCAGAAACTAAGTTATATCGACGTCATACCTATACAATCAAAACGGCCACTCAGACTAAATTAGACCGCTGCTTAAAAATGGTAAGTAACATTTTTACCTACATAATATTTGATTACTTAGAACTAATGCATTTTTCTTTTTATCTTTTTTCTCTTTCTTTTCCAAGATTCTGTTATTTAAAAAACATGTTTGTTGCTCGATTTTATGGTGAATGAAGTTCGCGTGAATATTTTAGTCACGCGTGAAACCAATGTATTTTTTTTTGGTCAATTTTCAAGCATCCACAGGATGCAATGAAAAGCCTTTTTTAAAAAAAAGCAAATTTGAATGGATTGTTTCCTGTCTTTTGTTTTATTTATTTTTCTAGTTTGTCTTTTTATTTGTAGGATTTAAAAAAAATAAATCCTAAGCGCTTGATTTTTTTTTTTTCAAAATCTTGGACACGATACGCCATTCATTTCAGTTCTCAAGTTAGAAAATAGAACAATCACACACACACATACATACATATATATATATATATATATATATATATATATATATATATATATATGTGTGTGTGTGTGTGTGTGTGTGTGTGTGTATGTGTACTTTTTTAAATGCATCATATTGTATCTTATCTGTATTAAATGTTTTTACATAGTTTTGCATTTTGTCCTAATTTTGGTGCACTTTTTCTTTTGTCTTTTTCTTTCTTTCTTTCTTTTTTTTTTCTTTCTTTCTGTCTTTCTTTCTTTGTCTTTCTCCTTTTTTCCTTACTTTTAAGTTCTTTCTTGTTTCTTTCGTTTTTTCCCTCTTCATTTGATCATTCTTTTCCTGTTTTCTCTCCTTTATATTTGAATGTTCTTACTATCGTCAGATTCCATTTTTAATGTTTTATTTTACCTCTCTTTTTTTCTTCTCTCTTTTTTACTTCTCTCTTTTTTTCACCATTTATATTTCTTTTCTTTTTCTTCTGTATATCTTCTTTCTCTGCTTCTTTCTCTCTTTTCCTGATCGCTTCCTTTCTTTTCTCATTTTCCGAAATCAATTCTTTCTTTCTTTCTTTCTCTCTCTCTCTTTCTCTCTCTCTTTCTTTCTTTCTCTCTCTTTCTTTCTTTCTTTCTATAATTTCACCATTCATGATTTTTCTTGAAGCAGATATTATTTTCTGTCACTTTTCTCTCTTAGTAAAACCATATATTGCATTTACCTCGTCGAGTATTATTAATAAACTACGACAACACAATAACATGGCACCTTATGCATTAAGCTTTGCATTTTCTTTCCATTTATTAATTTTCTGTTCTATTCTATTATTATTATTATTATTAAATTAAATATAGTGATAGATAGAGACTTCAGTATAGTAGTAGTTGTGGTAGTAATAATACTGATCTTAGATAAATCATTTTATTAACATTTTTATTATTAATAATTTTTAAAATAGAAAAAAGAGCATAAAATGCATTCTCATAGTAGTAGCAGTCGTAGTAGTAGTGATGATCTGAGTAAAATCACTTATTTTCGTAAAGTAATAAGACAGAGGTAAGACACTTGTAGTGATAATTTTAAGTAAGTCTCCTATAATTATTTATGAAAGAGAAAGAAAAGCAGAGACTTCACTTTTATTATAGTCTTACTCTGAGTGGTAATGATGTTCAGGAAAAAGTCGCACATTCTTTTAAGAAAATAAAAGAAAAACAGGGCCTAAATGATTCGAATAAAAGTGTTGATGATCTTAGACAAGTCAAGTATTATTATTTCTTGTCTTTGTGATTTTCTATTTCATAAAATTCTTTCGCAAGTTTTTAACTGAGGAAAGGAAGGCTTTTCTTGGAAAGTTATTGAGCATATCAGATTGCGAGGGCTGTTGTTATTATTATTACTATTATTTGGACTAAAGATAGACAAGTAAAGAGACTGTAATTTTGCTGTAATATATACTAAGAAACAATAAGGAAATGGTAAAACAATGGTTACACTTAAGTAAAAGTAGTAGCAGAAAAAAGAAGAAAATGATGTTTAGCTAAAATATTATATATTTTTATGTATTTACATGTTCGCACCTGATGTCTGGTGGTCATTGCTAAGGATTGTGTAATTAAAAAAAATCATAACAATTTTCCAGCACCTTCCTCAGTATCCTCCACGACATTGTCTAAATAGTCTCAAATTTACCTTGGATTTCCAACTCATCCATTTATTTTTCCATTCCAGTAGTAACTGATGCTTTACCCTTCCCAGCGCTCCGATAACAATTAGCACGACTGTCACAGTTATTTTCGACATATTCTTCAGCTACCTGGAGAAGTCGAGACATTTATTCATTTATTTTCTTTTCTTTCAGGTTTGCATCTCTTATTATTATTATTATTCTTTTAATCAAGGTGCTTTTCATTAAGCAGGTTCTATGATATAAATAATTCGACGTAAATACATATATCAGTATAAAAATGGAAGCAATAGGAAAAGTTGACATTCGAGAAAGGCTTTTTTTTTCTTAATGGGCATTTTAGAAAACCTTACAGTACTTTGAAGCTCTTATTCCCACTTGTAGTTTGATCGACTTTTCATATCTTTGCCTTCACCTACCTTTAGTTCTCTTCATGTTTGCTCTTCCTTCGAGCACCCTCTCACCACTCTCCCATTGCTCTCCTTCGATCAGTGTTGTTCGACTGATAATAATGATGGCTTATAATAATAACGACAATGTCTACAACAAGTATGACAATGAGAAATACCAATAGTGTCTAAGAAGGAAGGAAGGAAAGAAGAGGGAGAGAGACTGAGAAACGAAAGGAAAAAGGAAGAAAGAATCAGAACAAGAAATAAGAAAAGGCGGGAAAAATAGGCTAAGAAAGAAGCGGGTATGAAATACACAAAAAAAACAAGAAGAGAGGAGTAGGTAAAGAAGAAAGATAAAAAGAAAGAAAACAAAGACGAAAGATAGGGAGGGAATACAAAAGAAAGAGGTTTTAATATCAACGTTTGAAATCGCAAATGCCGCTATTATAAATGTCATTGTTAAATTAAGAATTACTGCTATTAGTCACAGACTGATTCTAATAGCTTGCGATTAGAACTATAGTTTCAGTTTGAAGTCAGAGAACAAGAAGTGAAATAAAGTCATAAACGTGTGAGATTAAATTGCAGAAACTAGATTTTCAAAGGCCTATAAAAAACAACAAAAAAAGACCACTTTTATGTGCTTGATCTTGATACCTGCAAATTTTTATTATTAAATAATAAAATTGAATTTTCAGGCCAGATGTCTGGTGGCTGGCGCTGGAAATTGCTAGAGAACAAGTTTAGCACCCCCCACCCCAGTAGACTCGAGATTTATTGCAAGAAAAATACAGCAATTGAGGAACAAGGCCAAAACAAAAAATGACTTTCTAATCTTAGATGTGACACAAGGCCGAAAGTTCGGTGCACCCAGTGAGGATCGAACTCACTATTCAGTCGTAATAGATCTAACAAAACTAGCCTGCTAACCATTACCCCACTTCGAAGTGCGCTAAAAATGATTTTGTAAGCGTAGTTTACATGCGGCACAAGGCCGAAAGTGTGGGGCACCATGTGAGGATCGAAATCACTACTAAACTGTAATGGATCAAGCAAAACATACTTGCTGACCATTACGCCAACTTTCCCCAGGAGATTCATAGGCTGTAATATTGTACTTTTGGTAATGGTTCAGTCCTTACATCAACAAAGCATTACCCTTTCTTTCTTTCTTTCTTTCTTTCTTTCTTTCTTTCTTTCTTTCTTTCTTTCTTTCTTTCTTCGTCTGCTGCTGCTACAGTTTTTATGCTTTATTTCTTTTCTTTCTCATAATATTGTAACTTTCTTTTTCAGGGTCTAACACAATTAATCTTTCTATTTTTTATTTTTTATTATCTTTTTGTTTCTAATCTAACTATATATATATATATATATATATATATATATATATATATATATATATATATATATATATATTTTCTTTTTTTTTTGAGGATTTATAATCTTTTTTCGTTCATTTAAATACCATCATAATTTGAGCTATAACGTTGTCTTTCTTCTTCTTCTTCTTCTTCTAATAATAATAATAATAATAATAATAAT